ATACATTGTAGTGTCCATAGTGGTTAAATCTCACAAAAATGGAGAATCAGGTTAGAGAATTTAGCTTTAACAAGTTTAACAAGAAAGTGCAATAACAACAGTATCCGTAAGATTTCTGGAACATTTTCTGAACCATACTCTTCCAAATCTCTAAATGAGCACATTCAAAGTCAGTACTGTTCCAGAACTGTGCAAGATAAGACCACGGTTATAAACATGATAACAGCAAAGCAACATTAAATCAACATTGATATTGTGTAATTTTTGTCTGTTTTGATTGATGTAAAATCAACTACAAATCAACATTGTCAGAGGTTGAATTTTTTTCACATCGTTTAAATGTTAAAAGCAAGATGTGGAATCAACGTTGAGTTGTAGTTATCTTCACGTTGAATTGTAGTTATTATCTTCCAAGAGTGCTAACTCTAGCAAAGAGTGTGTTTGGCTAAGTGTTGGAACTGACAGTTGACTGACTCGACGCAAAAGCTTCTGGCCTGTGTGTGTGGCTTATGTCTGCTTTTAAGCTGAATGAGACTTGCTAGCAAAAAGCATTGGCATGCCCTCTGTGGTATATTGTGGTATATGAACAATAAACACTTCTTTGTGACTCTAGATTTAGGCTTGTTTTGTTTGTTTTTAGGGTTTTTTATGGTATAATGCAAATTTCTAAATGTAAATTATGTTGCATGTTGTGTTTTCTGATCAAAAATCAAGATAAATTATGCATGCTAATATATATTACAGTAAACATGATTCTGATTCTGCCACCTTGGTGCATGCATCTCAGCACATAGTATAAAATGTAAATTTAACACAGTAGTCACACATTTGTCTTAATTTGTGGAACTTAATTCCAGTTTTAAATGTACATTTTACACTATGTGCTGAGATTCAACAAGCACAACAATATCTGCAATGCAAAAAAAGCTGTTGACAAAACACATAAATATTTAAAAATGTAAGAGCATACATTAAGCACATAATTTTTAAAAATCTGCCAGTGGGGTAAGCATATTTTACTCTGTAATATATGCATTTCAACCTGTAGGCCTGCTGCTTTTTGAAGGCAGCCTGTCAGAACAGAGCTAATTTAAAGGAAAAATGGCCTGTTTAATTTAGGAGTTTAAGGAATAAAGAGTGGTTAGAAAATGATCATTGAATTGTAAATATTTAAATTATTACTAATATTGGTAAAAGCATATACATGCCGTAAGTGGGGCTTATGGGGAAAAACTAAAATGGAAGACAAATATCAGCTATTTAAAAAGGTTTTCCATAGTCTTCCATAGTCTAGTTTCAACCAGTTCTGAAATATGATTCAACACAGAACAGGATGTGCATTTTACCATTACATCAACATCCGAAATCAATGATGATTCAACACTTCTGCTTTAAAATGGACAATGGCTATCTGTTATGCTCTAGCTAGCAAATAGTCTAGATCATAAAAATGTTCACGTGGCATATGTAAGTTTCTGCTTGCATACAGTGTTTGAAACAAAGGAACATTTATTATTTGCCTCTGTACCCCACAGCTTTAAATTTGTTCTCAAACTATTCACACATGGTTAAAGTGCACATTCTCAGATTTTCATTAGCATTATTCTTATACATTTCTGTTTTACTGTGCAGAACTAACAGCACGGTTTATACATGTTTGGGACATAGCTGTGGTATGTACAGTAAATTTAGTCATGCTTAACGTTTTGTTGCATATCCTTTCCATGCAATGACTGCTTGAATTCTGTGACTCATAGACATCATCAGATTTTGTTGAATATCTTCTCTGGTGTTGCTCTGCCAGACTTGTGCAGGAGCCATCTTCAGTTCCTGCTTGTTTTGGGGGCCCCTTAAGGTTTTTGTTCAGCATATGGAAAACATGCTCAGTGGGTTCAGAGCAGGTGATTGACATGGTCAGTCCAGAGATTTACAATTTTCATTTGTGTTTGTTTCATTGTCTTAAAGTGCCATCCAATGAGCTTAGAGACATTTTCCTGAACCTTGGCTGATGTTTCCACACACCTCAGAATTCCAATTCATTTTCTAAAATGAAAATTTAAATTTTGAAATGATTAAATTTTTTTAAAAATTACATTGCATTTCATCACAAACTGGTGCCGCAGCACTGTCACATTGCTGTTACCAATTGTTTGCAGCTATGTTTCTAGGACTGTGGGAGGCTGAAGGTCTTGTAGAATACACTAGCTGTGTCCTTCAATCTCTTCCAAATGAAGGATGCATTGCTCGGCCCCATTCAAAGGTTCAACAAATGGAAAACGGCGCAGCCTTCAGTGCATACATGCATTTTTAGTTCCCAGAAATCATTAGGCCTTCTCTGAAAGCCTAGAAGGCCCTGAAAGTTCTTCACTGGAGGGTGGATACTATCCCCACTCAAATTTCATTGCCGCATTGAACTGGAATGGGGCCGGAGCATGTCATTGCCTTGGCCACATTTATACACCTCTTTAATATATTTTTTTTAATTTCAGATTGCCGCAAATGAGCATCATTAATATCTACATGAATACTGTCATAGAAACCTATGGTCTACAGACTAATTTACACTTATCACAAAGGAAGTTAGTACTGTCACTAGTGACAGAGAAGGTGAAATATCTAAGCACTTAGGGCACAGCAAAACCTTGTGATCTGCCATAATGATATTTATGTCTCTTCTTCAGTGTATTTCTTTTTTTCCAAATGTATTTTGAAGATTTGATGGACAACTGGGGCGTCTGATTGCCTGTAGATGTAAATTTCTTTCAAAATAATGAGTGGAAAATGTAAAAAAAAAAACAATTAAAGAATAATAAACATTAGATTGCAGAAAGAGCAGCATTGTTTTGGAAATCCATCAAGAGGTTTTTGAGGGGATTGTTTGTCTGTTGAGAGTGATAACACTCTATACAGTTGGTGTGTGCTCCTGCTTTCCTGTGGGAGAAGGAACCAACTGGTGACCTGTGAACATCTCTTGACAGCAATGCAGACTTCAGCATTCTGTCTCATTAAACACGCCTGATTCAACCCATCAGCTAACTATCAAGGCCTTGATGAATTGAAATTCACAACACTAGATAAGGGGAAATGCTAATCTCTGTAGAGCTGTGGCCTGAACCCAGTTTGACATGCCAGGTTTAAACCAGTGTTTTTCAATCCTGGTCCTGAAGGCCCACTGCCCTGCACTTTTTAATGTTTTCATTGCTCCCAGTATACCTGATCCAACAAATAAGCTGATTAAATAAATGATTAAGAGCCCATTATTGAATGAAAGTGGCTGTGTTAACACAGGTAAAGCACTAAAATGTGTAGGACAATGGGCCTTCAAGACCATGGTTGAGAAAAACTGGTTTAGTTTGTAGTATTACAGAGGTCAACCTTTTGTCAATAGAGTTTGAATGGCAGTCTAATGTGTATAAGAAGTACGAAACTGCAGTTTCGGTAAAATGAAAAGGATATAAGAGATGCTAATCTGGGGTTTGCTGTTCACATTGTAAATTCAAAAGATGACTGAGTAAAAAATGTAATTCAATATATGTGTTTTTATTACACTCTTTTTGCATGAATGGCTACAATACAGCATGACAACACCTCACACATACATTTGTTTTTAAGTGGTAGGCCTACATCGTATTTAAAGTGATATAAGTAAAAGACCATTTTCAGAGTTTATGCTTCACATATTTAGAATTATCTTCAGTCATCTACAGATTCTGAAGTGCATCCAAATTAAGGATTTCTACCGTATTTTCTTTTCTATGCTTTGCTGTTACCCAGCACACAACTGGTACACGTGAACAATATGTGCAGTAAAACAATACTTAAACTTACATAGATTAATTACATGGTCCAAACAGCTTTGTAAAACACAAATATTTGAATAACAAAATAATTTCTAAGTGATTAGTAGACAGAAACACTATGAATAGTTAACTAATCCACTGCTCAAGGGAACTTAAATGTATAAATTGTTGATTTTATACAAGCGGTCAGTTTAAGCCTAGTTCAGACTTTTCATCTTTTCTGTTCTTTATTTCATTATTTTTCAAATAAATCATATAATGCTTATGTTAAAAGAGAGAATAGTCTTTCATTTTGTCTTAAGATATACCACTAACCCTGACCACTAAAAACATATAATAAATGGGCTTATTAAAGGCTTCCCCGTACCTTTTTAATTGTCCTTTTATATTCAAATTCTTAATTAACTCTTGACTCCTTGGTTCTCAGGCTTATCAGATTAAATGCACTTTATTCATTCACAAATAAATCCCATTTAAAAAAGACAAGTGTATAATAAAGCTGCACTTATATGAAAAGAAAATACAATCACTCAAATCACTCTTGTACTCAGTGCAGGCAGTGTAATCACTGATATTGTGAACAGTCAAAATGAAGCAGAAAAGTATGCAGTAGGTATCACGTAAATGGCACAACATAATAATGCCAGTGTAATGCAAGTAGTTTGTTTGCTGTAAAATGCCAAATTGTGCAGCTGTTTAATCTCTATTTCAACAACAAAAGCTCATTTATCCATAACCTGAAAGTATACCTACAGCCAAACAGTTGTTAAACAAAGAGAAAGTCAAAGAGCACCAAATAACAATGACAGATAGCCACGAATTACTTTTTGAAATGTATCTTAAGATTTGCTTATAATTTTTGGCTGCAGTACAACAATGCTAGCAACTAGAATTCTAAAATTTTGTAAATGATGTGAAAGCAACAATAACAACTGTCTAGTTTCAAACAACAATGCTCAAAACACTACAGTGTAGCAACGGTATCAAAACAAAATTTCAAGAAAATGTTTTTAGAAAGAAAATATGTTCTAAAAAGGATGTTTTGTTGGCTTTTTGAGAAAACAGTTAGTGTAGATGATTGCCATGATTTTAGAAGTATCGCATTATGTGAGAGCTCAAAGCAAAAAAAAATCATGTGAGATTGTGATTAATGTGAGATTACTGTGAGAACGCTGATGCACAGTTCTTTTGTAGATTACTCTAATCTGAGACCTGAGCTAATAACTTCTTTATTTCTTCCATGTCTTCGGACACATCTGTAACACAAAATTTTACATTTGAATGTGATTACAGTTTTAAATGCATTGTATAAATCAAATCCAATTCCAAAAAAGTTGGGGCAGTATGTGAAACATGTTACAAAATAGTTGGAACAGGAGTATGTTTACCAGTGTATTACATGTTCTTGCCTTAGGCATCATCTTGCCTAATTGTTTTTGAGTTGACACAAATTGATCCATTTTTGAAAGTGTAATTTTTATCCATTATTCAGTTATGCAAGTTTTCAGCTGTGCACTCATGTGGGTCCTTCATTGTCGTATTTTGCTCTTCATAATGCACCACACATTTTCTATAGGAGACAGCCAGGCCAGTCAGGCCAGTCTGCATTCGTGAATGCAGCGGTATACAGCATTTATTGACAATGATTTGTCAAAGTATTCTCAAGCCCATGTGGTGATCCATCAGAGAAGCTTATCAGTTTTTAACGCAGTACTGCCTGGAGTTGAAGGTCATGGTCATTCAGCTGCAGTTTTTGACCTGGCTTTTTATGTACAGAGATTTTTCTGGATTCCCTGAATCTTTTGATAACATTAAGAACTGTAGAGGGTGAAATACCTAAAATCCAGGCAAACCCTTATTAAGGAACATCGTTCTTATCTGTATATATATATATATGTATCTCAGTTGGTATGGTAGAACATTAAGGCCCAATCCCATTTCATCCCTTGCCCCTACCACTTAGCCCTTAGCCCTCTGTTTTGCGTGTTCACGCCTAGAGTTAGGCTGTCCCAATTTTTGTTGAGATACAGGGGTAGGGTGAAGTGTTAGGAAAAAAAAGAAAACCGGCAAGATGGATGCGCGAGCGACCAAAGAAACCCACAAATGTGAGTATTTTCTCCGTTAAAAAATGATGATAACCATAGTATGATCTGAGTTTAATGTCGTTTCAATGTATTGTGGTCGTTTTCCTAATAACAAGCATAAAAGATCTCTAACAGAATGCTAATGTCTCTGTAGCTAGCTTGCTAACTTTCCTGTTCCACCTTAAATAGTCCAGCAGTATTGACGCCTGAAGCGCCAGAATGTAACTGCTGCACCATTTAAGGTGGAACGGGAAAATTTGAACGAGAAGCTGGTGAATAGCTGACTTCAGCTTCGTATCACCAAAGAATTAGCGGTGTGCGATAATAATTAAGTGTCTTATACCCCTCTTTGAAGGCAAATGATGCCCTAAATGTAACTAAAGCCCAGCAGCAAGGCTGCTGAACTTGTCCCTTCTCTGCTATCACCGAAGACGCGATGGGCCGCCTTTTTTTTTTGAGGGTTGTCTCATTTCGTAGGGCAAGATTTCAACCACTACCCCTTGTAACTCAGTTCCAAGGGGTTAGGGTGACACTCAAAAACAAGGGGTAGGGGTAAAAAGAAGAAATGGGATTGATCCTAAATATCTTTTCTTTGTACTGCTTTCATTTAAATACAGATCAACGTGAATTTATAAATTACCGCTTTCTTACCGTTTTTATTTGCATTTCACATACTGTCCTGACTTTTTTGGAAATGGGTTTGTAGATTTTAATCAGTAAGTTTAGGTCACCCTTTTCGTCATATTATGACAAGAAATGAACCTGCACTCAGCTTTATAGATAACTTACTCTTGTAAGACAAGGTGTTTGCACCAACAAGTGAATGCGTCAGCAAATCCATTAGTCTTGTTCTTATCTCATTTGTGATGTAGCTCTGTCAAAGCAAACATTTCAACATAACAGTGGTTATAAATGATAAGTATGCTTTTAGTTTGTTTTTCAAATATGTATTTATGGCTCTTTAATTTATTATATAAATACAAACCATTGTTTCAACCAGCAGTTCAAGCATATTTTTTTTTGCTGTCTGGAACATTTCACTTTTTGATGATTTTATGTGTTTCAACAGCATTTCCTGCTTCACCCTCATAGAGCCAGTTCCACTAATGGCAGCAGCCCCTAATACAGTACAGTGTTGTTTACTTTTCTATGTTAGGATGAGATGAGATGCATCAATTTAAGAAATATCATAAGCTGTAACTTACTCTGATAGCAGGGCAGCATAGTGGTTTTAATTGATTCAGAAAGAGATGCGTATATTTCCTTTTTTCGCTCAACAATTTCTTCTTTAAGCATTTCTTTCACTTTCATTTCCTGTTTACATTAGAAAACAAAAACAAACTCTGCCAGTCTGCATCTTTTTCCATGTAATTATAGAAATTATAGGCCTTTGGCAGTAACATGCCCGAGATTTAAGGTTAAAAATATGCTAAAGGTTAAAAATATGCTAAAGTTAATACACAATGTAGTATAATGATCTCAAGACAGAACTTTGTAATACAGGTAATGCACAAAAAAGTATCATATTACGTTCAACATTTATTATGTTCAGAGGGTTGCTTAGCAGATCAGCATGATCCCATGAAATAAGTGCAATAACTGTAAAAATACTAATATCTGTACCTGTAAAATGTACTGACTAGAAAAAGTTGAAGCTGTACTTATTGCCTTCCCCTTTAAAGACCAAGTGAAGCTGAATGGTATGGCAATACCAAATGTAACTTGCAAGAAATAGTAAACTGATATGTGAAATCATGGTTTGGTATGGTTGGTTATGGTAAGTACCATATATTTTCTAATTCATTGATATTATTAGAAGGTAATATTGTATTCACCTCAGTTTCAAGGAATGTCAGCACTGTAGAATTTTTGTATTCTGTGATCTCATTCTCCAGGATGATAGTAAATTTATCAATGTGTGCTTGCAGTGATTTCTCGGTTACATTGCCCTCAAGCCTGAAAAAAAAATAACAGTGAAAGTGTTGTTCTGAAATACTAATAATTTTTTACTCACTCACACACACACACTCAATTACATTTAGCACGCTGTTAATTCACCACAAGGAGGTGCTATCAAATAGCTTTTGGGCATTCATAGTAGTGGTGCTTCACATCAATGATACTTTTTGTTCTAGTTTGTCTTAATAAGCCATATATCTATTTTTAAAAAATCCACCAAACATAAACACTTTTTGCAAAAACACATGACAATTGTTATTACAACAGTAACTTGTAAAGTAGCAACATCACTGTGTCTCCTCTTATAATATGGAATGAGGTGGGTGTGGAATATGGGATAAAGGGGTGTGAAACTTTAAAATATTCTTTAGTCTCATTTGACCTTGCTTGTGGAATCTCATCTTCAGCTCACCCTCTGGTTTCGAAAGGGGTTTTCATAGCAACAGGAGGTCAAGAATGACCACTTAATAGCTCCTAAAGTCTCAGGATGGAAAATGGGAATACATGCCAGATATATTTTGTTCATAGGAATGTGTAAGACCCTGTCCTCACATATTTGTTTTTTCTTAAACATTGATCTCTGCATTTTGGTTTCCTGTCCACACAAAAACAATGTTTTAGGTCACTGAAAACTCACCAGGGTGGAAATTCCAATTTTAGCATAGACGGGCAAAACGCAGCATTATCATGCAGTTGACTTGCACATGGTTGTGGCTGTTTTCATTCACTAAGCATGCAGAACTATGTCTGAAATACACCTGATGAGTGGATTGTTTGTGTGTGCCTGCCAATGTGGGGAATTTAGCTTTACTTTTTATGACACTGTATTTATTAATGTATATACTTCATGATTCCTGCTGTATTAGTCTTAGATTTCCTGCTGTATTAGTCTATAGATTAATTCACTGTGATGAAAGCATTAGTTAAGTATTAGTTCATGCTTATTTGTGGTCTGAAATACACCTGATGAGTGGATTGTTTGTGTGTGCCTGCCAATGTGGGGAATTTAGCTTTACTTTTTATGACACTGTATTTATTAATGTATATACTTCATGATTTCCTGCTGTATTAGTCTTAGATTTCCTGCTGTATTAGTCTATAGATTAATTCACTGTGATGAAAGCATTAGTTAAGTATTAGTTCATGCTTATTTGTGGTCTAGTATTGTAAAGCCCCCCCCCCGAAAAAAAAAAGCAAGGACAGAATACACAGCAGCCCTCTACAAAAAAAGATGCTAATAGCCAAGATAGTTTTGTTGATGTCAGTTACACAAAACTGGATACTTGAAAAAGAATTCAAAACAATTTAATGTGCATTTTGACTACAGCAAGGCCTTCTGTGAGTGTTCTCAGGAAAATGCGTATACCAGAGCATCTCATTATTCTAATAAGGAACCTCTATATTGAGCAATAAGCCGCAGTCATGACAGAAAGTACAACCTTTCTTCATAGAGTAACCACAATTTATAGGAAAGTGGCAAAACAGAAAAGCTTTAAATGGTTGACTAGCATGTAGTTTGAATAGCAAGTAACTATATCTAGTGCAATAGTTAATCTAGCTGAAGTTCTGATAATAAATATATAACAACAACAATAACAGATAGAATAACAACGTGTTTAATAACAAATAGAACATTTAAAACAACTGTAAACCAAAATGAAAAGTGGAATAGTTAATACATGTTTTTTTTTTTTGTTGGAGGGGCTCAGGTGTTACTATAAGAAATATTTAAACTTTAATTTGTCCTCTCATGGTGTCAGTATATCATTTTTTATCTTTTGGTATCTGAAAGCATAATTCCATTATAAAGCAGTATATCAACAAATTGAACTGAGTTGAGTACTTACGGGAAGAAGTCACTGAATGCTTTATTAATTTCTTGCAACATGTCTTTGACCAAGTCTGTATTCAGATCTTTATGTCCATTCCTAGACCTGCAGTACCCATGATTCTTGCACAGTGCTGTCAGTGTTTGGTGAAATCCTCCACCACCCTTATTCTTCAGAGTAATAAAAGGATTGAGTAGAACATTAAAAAATATTACCAATAGTACAGTTTATAAAAGATAAAACGTAACCATTTACCGGTTTTATTAGTTTTTTTGCAGTTGCAGCACATTTTTCTTCAGATTTTCTTGCTCCTTCCGAAAGATGCAGTTCCAGACACCTGTAGATTTGGCCAGTGTAGTCTTGCAAGTGTTCAAGTGCATTGTCAAGATTTTTGTTTAAGTTCTCATGTAGTCTGGATTTGTTTTCCATCTAAAATATAAATATTATTACAAAATGATTTTTAGTGTATACATTTTTTTTGGGTGTTTTTAGTGTGCAAGGCTATCATTAAAACGGGATAGTGATAAATAAATGCATTTTAATTTCATGTGGGACTGTTTAGACATTCTTTCCTTTGTGTGGCTCAGTGCTGATAAAGGATCTTTCACAAGAGAATTCAGTCATTCAAAGGATTCAGAGGAATCGGAGAATCCATAGAACATTTTTACATGTTTGACCGAGAAGACCTTAGAGTACTAAAACATCTAAAATCACCAAAAGGGAAACAGCAAAACAAAAAAGCTAGTGTTAAGTGCTTGGTTAGGATTTAGTATTCTATGTAATCTTTAATGAGGTTTCCAAGTAATTAGTGTGACAAACTTGAGTTATGTGACCAACTTGAGTGTTGAGCGTGAAAAAATTAAATGTTGCTGTCCAATTCCTAACAAATCACATGTAATTAACAAGGAACTTTCCTATAGATGCCATCAGATGCCATTAGAACTGTTAAATGAAGGTGTTACAAAAAGTAAGTAAACAGTATCTACCACTTCCAGTGTACTTAATATGTCAGTAGCAGTCAGGGCTTTGAACCAGTTTGAGGAACAAAAATGACACCATAATAGCCCTTAACTGTTCCTGGAATAGAAACATTAATTTGAAATATGTGTTACTGGTTTATAACATGGGCGGCACGGTGGCGCAGTGGGTAGCGCTGTCGCCTCACAGCAAGAATGGCCTGGGTTCAATTCCCGGCCGGGTGACCAGGGTCATTTCTGTGTGGAGTTTGCCTGTTCTCCCCGTGTCTGCGTGGGTTTCCTCCGGGTACTCCGGTTTCCTCCCACAGTCCAAAAACATGCAGTCAGGCCGATTGGACATGCTAGATTGCCCCTAGGTGTGAGTGTGTGTGTGAATGTGTATGTCTGTCTGTCTGCCCTGTGATGGACTGGCGACCTGTCCAGGGTGTATCCTGCCTTCCGCCCAATGACAGCTGGGATAGGCTCCAGCACCCCACCGCGACCCAGAAGGATAAGCGGTTTAGATGATGGATGGATGGTTTATAACATGCCTTCCATCCAATGACTGCTGGGATAGGCTCCAGCTCCCCCCGTGACCCGGAAGGATAAGCGGCTTTGAAGATGTGTACGTGTGTGTGTGTGGTTAATAATACTTAATACTTTCACAGCTTACAGGCTGTGGATAAAGGAAGAAAAATAAACACATGACACAGTGGAAAGAAAGCGACAGGGTCGTGATATGGTCGATGTGTTTGAATAAATAAAATCCATGGCCTTAATCAACGCAGGAGTTGATGATTGGGAGAGTTGGGAGAATTCCGGGTGGGCCGGTAGTGTTTTGGGCCAGTTACTGCGAGCTAAGAAATAAACTCATGCATGTAAGCACAAGAATGCTCAGACTGTAAATATTACATCTGAGTGTATATCTGTAGCTGTTTAGGGGTTAAACCAGCGGCCCCCGTCTCAGGTGATACAGCCCCAGTTTGATGACTGTAACTAAGACTCATATTCATCTCCTTGAGTAAAACCCTGATACCCAAAGTGAAGTGTGTTGTTCTCTGTCAGTGGTCTTCAAATTAGGAAAGATGTCTTTTTACTAAAATTACTCAAATAAGTCATGTTAGAATTCAGTAGTAAATGTCAGCATTCATGCATCAAGTCATCAAAGGTAAAATATAAATGGCATTTTTCATGACCAAGTGTCAACATTTTATATGAAATGAGCGTACACTGCATATGCACAAATTTTTGCCCAATAAAATTTAGGCTTAATGTTAAATTTCTGACAGTGTACCAGGGGCATTGGCTGGTCACATACAGATCCAGGGCTCAGCCGAATTAATTGTACAATTGTTCTGAGATATCATCTACCAGAATTTTTTTATTAAACTGTACAGTGAGCACTACATTTTTATTTAGTGTGGTCAACAAATCAATAAAATGTGCATGTATTCAGTAATGTTTATTGGCTTATAAACAAAATCATTAAAAAAACTAAGCAAAAAAAGAGTGATTGTAACAAATAAAAAAAATGTCAGATGTTTCCCAAATGATGACATTATTAAGTCCTCTGCACATTTCCTCTCTCTCCACCATCTCTTCTACACGTCTCCTCCCTAATGACCTGCTACATGTAAAGATTTTATCTATAGTGTTTGTTTTTTTTTTAACAAGTTAAATAATCATTAATTCAATTCCTCTTTTTAAAATATAATTTTTTATATATAAAATTTTTAAATATAAAAGAGCATGCTAAAACAAAGCCTTTCACATTAGTAAGTTTATGTCCTGATGACCTGTTATGGGTATGCTACCTGACCTGAGATCGGCGAGCCGAACAAATGATTGGGTACATACTTTTTTTTTTATGGGTTGGGCTTGGTTTCAGATGAGCAACTTTTATGTACAAAGTAAAATCTGATTTGGTCTTAAAAATTTAAGTAACCAGGCTGCCTTCAAATTTGGATGCTATTGTACTTCAAAGTATGAGTTAACAGAATTTAACACACAGGATAACTGTGCTGTCTATTTGATGTTCAGTGAACATGACATTTTAAAACAGCCAGTTTATACCTTTACAAGTTAAAATGATTATTGTTTCACAGTGGAGTAGATGAGCCTTTTTTTAAAGAAATTTCAGGCACTCACATTTTCTTTCTAGCCCTCTCAGCGCATATGCATGTGCTCTCCCATTTTCTGGTCTGCTGACACCCTCTCTCTCTCTCTCTCTCTCTCTCTCACCATACTCTTTTCTTCTCTCTTTCTCTGTGTTTCATATCTCTCATTTACCAAGCGTGAAAATGTCAATGTGTCACTAGAGTCATATCAAAAACACCAACTGCTGTGGCTAGTTCTGCATTCCCCTTTGCATAGATCGTTTCTGTTGGTGAGTTTAAAGAGAATTGGTTAATGGATGGTTGTGGAAAGACCTTTTCTGCTTGAGAGTTTGAGGGTTTAAGCTACTGAATGAGAGTGTACAGGCCGACCTGTACAAAGATGTGACTGTTATATGTTTTCCTTACTTTGTTTTCTGGAATGGGTTTAGTTTCTGAAAAAAACAAAAACCTTTTTTGAAACGTTTAGTGATGATTGTGACAGTGAGTACATACCATTTCAGTGTCACTTACCTTGAAACCTTGAATTAGGGAGAGGATTCCATGTGCTCCAGAGATGTAGTGAATTATCATTTTATTTTTCCGGTTATTGTTGTACTCCCTCAAAAGTTCTTTGAGTTTAGGGATCTCTGCAAATGTTCAGATCACAGAATGTCAGACCAACTATTATCATTACAGATGTTTTATTGATGACATTTTTTGAAAGGTAAAAATACTTTGTAATGACTACTTGACTTATAAAATTAAGGGTTACTAAGAGGCACAACAAGTGAGTTTACATTGTATGATGCACAGTAAAAGTGACCTAAAGTTGACTAAAATCCAATTAAAAAAAAATACATTGATTATTCATTACAAAATCTCATTCAAATATTGGACAAAACAACAAACCTTGGAGCATGCGACAAAAAATATGTGCTACCCACTCACCCCCTCTATTTCTACTGGTGAATAGGTGACATTTCATTTGATTAATTATTTATTGATTTGATTCTACCACCATGCACCCATGTGACAAAACTACCATAAACAACTGTGAGTATGTGCAGTACAAAATACGTATACATGGCTCCTGCATACTTTATCAACTGTCACTTGGGTGGTGCCCTCAAGAGTACATATTCAGTACCTTTAGTTACAGAACATAACTGCACCATATTTGTTACAAGTTGTATTGAGTCTACAAACCCTGTCTTGACTCTAGGCCTTTCTTTACTTTTCAATTTAAAACAGTTATAAAAACATACAAACATACCCCTTTCCCCTGGTAAAGTGAATGCAGTGTACCTTTGAAACACATTTAAGGTACAAGTTTGGGCCTTAAGGACAGTATTGTACTTTTAGGAGTACATTTACATTGGTTGTACCTTGGGGGACTAAAATATACCCTTTTTTAACAGTGTATTTAATATTTAGAATGTTTTTATACTTTACCTGTTTCCTCTGGTGTCAGGATTGGATCTGTCTTGGTGAATTCTGTAGAACTCACAGTGAACACAGAAAGGAATGTATCGTCACAGTTTAAATGTTTCTAGTGGAGGAAAACCATGGAGTGAGAGTCAGACATTTTTCCATTGTAACCCCAAGGTAGGCTAAACCTGGTTTCTACCAAATTACTGAGCTTCCTCTCACAATGACTTAATTTACATGCAAACCAATGATTGGTAAATAGTTAGAATGAGGCTGATATTCTAACTAAGCTATCATCATGTAAACAGAATGGTTCTGTTTTCATAATCTGACTAACGTCTTATTCAAGCTAAGCATAGTGTGATTGAAACACAGTCAGGGTTGATACTGTCAGGACTACTCAAGGCTTTTACCAAGCTTAATTGATTCACACACCCTCCATGAAAACCTCCAGCAGCACTGGTGTATCTAAAATACTCATACAAGCGTGACACACACTAACACACCACCACCACGTCAGTGTCACTGCAGTGCTGAGAATGATCCACCACTCACATAATACCTGCTCTGTGGTGGTCCTGAGAACTGGGTAAAAGGGGACTAGCACACTACATGGAGCAACAGATCGTCTCCTCTTGTTATTTTAAAAGTGTTAGCGAAGTGTGCTGTTTGTTAACATGTTGTAACATCCAGCTACTGGCTCCTTCGGTCATGGGCGCGTAGGAAGCGTGGCCATGCAGAGCAGCCATGCCCAAGGGCTCTTGGGAGGTGCTGCTCCTGGCAAGTAAGAGACTTTAATATGCAAATAAGTTGTTGATGCTATTGTAAAGAGGTGCAGCAATGTTATGTGTTATTCTGTGCTACATTGTGTGTGAGATAATAGGGGTCTTTTGTCTACTGTGAAGTGAAAGTGTATGGTTATGGATGACCTGCCTGCTATTGTGGTCTTTTTAGCAAACGCTTTATGGTAGTACTCTATTGCTGTTGTGTTCAATACATGGCATTAGTCAAAGCAAGTGCTACTCTACTATGAACGTGCTGTGATTCAACTACATGATGTGTTCAAACATCTTGTGTGTAACAGAGAATGTGTCCATGCCGTGTTTAATTAGATAAGAAGAAAAACCGAAAATATGTTTTTGGTTGTTTTGATTAGGAATGCACCGATGTGGGAGTTCTAGGCTAATCCTGATGTAGTTCATGTACAGTTTAAACACCCTTGGTCAAATTACATGCTATTTTGGGACAAAAAAACATAAAATATACAATATGCCTTAACATTTGCAAAGGCTGCATTTTATGTTTTACAATATGGGAAAAGGGGGCTACTTACTGACAACTTACTGATAACTGTGTCCCCCTCACTTTTCAAATGGCTTCTTGCCCCTGTACAGTATATCCTTTAATTGGGGATTTTTATTTTCATGTGTTTTCACTTTAAAATACTGTTCCTGATCATAATTAACTACTAAAGAACACAGTAACACCATGTTCATTAGTAATGAATTACCATGTCTTTTACTTTTTAAACCTGTTTCTAATTATTATTGTGTCCTAAATAAAGACACAGCAACATCTACATAATGAGTTACTATTTGTTTCACTTTATACTGTTCCACTTTATAATGTTAGAAGTGTTCCAGATTAACTCCTAATGAAAGACAGTAATACCTCATTCATTAGCTACCATATAGGAATTACATAATCACTTGGTAATATTTAGAAGAACTTTCCCAAAGAATTTGGAGGTAGGACACATACACAGCCCATATATTTGTAGGGGTCATCTCTTTGATTGAACATACACTGAAGAGGACATTAAAAAATAACAATAACAAACAAACACGAGGGACATCACCCAGTAGAGTGCGGTGTTGTGTCTGCTGCATTCTTTGAGGATACCTGTTTCTGTGAATAATAATATATCCTTTATAGTTATCCTTATAATCCTTTATAGTTTAGATACTGCACACTTTTAGAAGTATTCGTCACTACATCATTTAGTAGTCACCGAGGAGCCCTGTAAGACTCCTGCTATTGAACAGTTAATGTTGAATTTATCAGTAAGTTATGAGAAGTTATTCTAAGATGCTATAGTTTGTAAGCAGTTCTCTAGGAATTAGATTTTTGCAGTATTGTGGCTCAGTTTTGACCCATTCCTTTTTTTGCAAACCATCTTTAATTCCCCAGGATTACTTTGATGGGCTCTCAATTTTAAAATCCTCTGGAAAATTTCAGTTGCACTGAAGTCAGGAGATTGGCTAGATGAACAAACATGACATGCTGAATTATTTGCCAAAATAATTGTGTGCGAATCGCAGACACACGTCTCTGTGCTTCTTTTTGTCAGAGTTTTATGTGGGATGTAGTAACTGAGATGATTGCAGTGCAGTTCATTTTTGTTCTCTGTGTAACTGCTGTTCCTGCTGCTTTCAGACCATCCTGATCTTTTTGAGTGACTGCTGGCTTCACTTTTACCTTCCTTATCAGTAGTCTGAAAGAAATCTTGCTTGGTGCACCTGTCCAAGGAGGATTAGTTGTGATTCCATGAATTTTGATGTAATAACATGAACGTTATTACACCAATTGTACTAATAGAGATGTTTAAGATCTTTCCTAGGGCTCTGTAGCTTTTGAGTAAAAGTTTTTGGGGGGGTGAATATTAATGCATGGTACTGAACCTGATCATTTAGATTGATAAAATCTTGCCATTCTAAACAAAGAGTTCAAAATTGAAAGAAACTTCATGTTAAATAATAGCTAAAACCTTTGGAAACTGTAGTCAGACTTGTTCCCTGTGAGCCTTTCCAAATACATCACTGCGATTAATACATTAATATTCATTTAATGCTCACATCATAGAGAATACTGCTTTCTTATATTACTTTCATAGTCTTAAATACTATGTAGTACTTTTGTTTGTTTTTTGAACCACAGATAATGCCAGTGTGGAAGCATGTCGTCATGGCTGTCTGTGAACTTTCTGCCTGTATAAAACAGTGAAAAAAATAAAAGAAAATACCTTAACTGTAGATCGTTTAAAATTCTTCTGCACCGTTTCCTTGGCTTTGTTATTCCTGTGCAGTATGCATTTGGATTTTCTGTTATTGTACTGAGAGTCCTGTAAGACAAACATTTGCGTATGCTACTACATTTACCAAGTTAAAGGATATTTTGGGAATATTTACCAAACTACATTTATTACCTTTGGTGTGATCTGCAAGTCTTCATCCCTGAGCTTTGTGGATCTACATTTAGATAGGTATTAGTTTCACTGTGGCAAATGCTTTATATATATATATATATATATATATATATATATATATATATATATATATAAAATATATATAAAAAATGCTAATTTTGTAGCAAGCCTGTCGCATGAACTGTAGCTGATATATACACTACCAGTCAAAAGTTTGGACACACTCATAGAGCAGGCTTTTTTCCTCATTTTAGAATAATAATGAAGACACCAAGACAAGAAATTTCTACATAAAGTACTTGTTTTGAAAAAAAATATTTTAAAATGATTATTTCCTGTTTTCTGTTTTTGGACATAAATCCATATGTAGGCATTATATTGAATAGTTGTCTTAGCAACAATTTTCAAACTTCAGCAAAAGCCTTTGAATCAAAATGCCTTTTTAACAACATGAAACCATGTGTCCTCATGACTGGTAGTGTAAATTGTATCTTCAAATGCAATAGAATAACTTGCAACTGACCTCATGTAGTTCTGTGGGTCAATGTCATCAGTTTTGGTACATATGAAGCAGATGCTGCTGCACTCTCCACCTTGTGCCATGTCTCTTATATTGTTAGAAATAAGTTCCCAGGTCTCCTTTTCAGAACCAGCACGGTTTATTTCACTTACGATCCACACAGTAGAACACTCTCTCAGTTTCTATAAAACATCAGAGGATATTACACTTCAACATTATAGGGAAAGATAACTATAGGGAAATGGAAACAGCCATGATTACTTGAACAGCTCTCGCTGGACAGCAATACATGGCTGTTCTGCTTGTGACTCTTCTGGTATGAATTTTTAAATACTTTGATGTATGCCACATTTGTTAGTGAACTAAGTTATTCCATTTAAAGTGATGGAAGTGTCCCTGGTCAGAGTCAAGCACAGGCATAAGTTTAAAATCTTTAAACAGACTATTAATCTCCCTCTCGTTATAACTACTGCCAATTCTAATGCAGCATCTTCTCAGTGTTGTAATTGGCTACTTGTTTAACTTCATTGATTTGATCTTTTTATATAAAATGGTTGACCAAATTCAGCTATGGTATCACTACATGCACAGAGCCCTGTGTATGTTAATAAATCATTATTTACTCACAGATTAAGTGCTTAGTGATTTATAATTAAATCCAGAGTTAATTGATATGTTAGTGTATCATTTGTTCATAGATTATTTAATCAATAACTGTTTACTAACTGCTGCTTTTACACTGATAATGAACTGATAAGTGTGTTTACTCAGATGAAGAAGTAATGTGACACCTACCTAGTACTTATGTGTTAGTGCTCTTAATTATCTGTTAATTAATCCACTGATAAATTTTTACATTTTTCTTCCATTGTACAGTCACAAATGTAGACAAATGTTAAAATTATATATATAATGTTTCATTTGCAACCATAATTGTAAAGTGTTACCTATACTTCTAACAAACAAGTTTTCCCTTTATGAGTCAGAATGAAAATGATCATCAATAATAATTGAACATATATATGAGAGACTTATTAAACAATTGAAACACATTGCATGCATATGTTTACAGCATAATCTAGTGTATGTATTCACAATGTGCTTAGATGCTTTATTCAAGTTTATTAAGACACTAAGCAACACCAAGAACAGTGGAGCATCTGACAGTTTTTGTATGCATTAATCCACCACCTTAAAATAATTAGAAATAAAGATGCTGTAAAGGGTTCAAGATTTCATATTAACCTTTGACAATTTGGCTTTATTTTGAAAGTGACAGCAATATTTACCGATCTCCACATCTGATCTCTGCTCTTGTTGTAATCTCCAGTTCCAGGGAGATCAACTATTAAAATGTGTTCTAGAAAATCTTCACAGTTTGGAACATTGATGGTCACACTCGTGACTACCGGCCAGTAACATCCTCCAGGGCTTGAATCATCATTCTTAACATAACACCTAATCTCATCCGAGAGATCTGAAGCCTGATGTTTAATGCACAAACATAAACACAAATGAGGTGCTTTATTTACACATTTGGAATGTTGGCTTTTAGTGACTTTCAGAAATATTACATGCTCTCAACAAAAAATCACCTTCACTTACTGTCTCACATGTTATCTTTTTGGTTCCAGATTTGAGAAACTCTGGAATTCCTGAGAATTTGTCATCTTTCAGGAGGTCTTCTACGCTCATTTTAACACCTTCCTCCCCATACAGTGCTTCAATCTTCTCATTGGCTGTATTGACCATTGCATTATCCCTCTCCTCACCGTCCTCCGATAAAATATTAAGAAGCGTTTTGAGTTCCTCTTCCCATTCCTCATTCAAGATGTTCAAGAAAAAGAATCCAAGAAGAAACAATACAGTCAGCAACCTTTCAGAGTTATAAACAGTTATAAAACAGTAGACAGTAGAAGCAAAGGGCAGGTGATCATGTGAATGTGTGGTCCAAGTGTTTCTGCACCATTTGCTTGATAAGGGATTACAGCTGCAAATAGAAGCAAACATGAAAAAGTCTGGCAAATCTTAATCTACTTACAATTTTACACTCACCAGCAACTTTATTAGGGACTCCTACCCTCTGGTTTCACCTTGTTTGTGTGCAGTTATGTCATCCTCAAACAATCTACGTCAGTGATTCACAGGAGAGCAGTGGATTCTACATTTTTCTCATTCCTGATTCTCTGCAGGTCCTACAAGCCTTTCCTTTAGTTGATACTGATTAATGTTGCATATTCTAATAAAACTATATTAAAAATAAAGGTATTTTACTCTTATCTGAGTTGAATTAAAGGCTATCAGTATGTAAACTAAATGCATATTTTTCACTGTAATGACACACTGTTGGTCATCACAAACATTTATTTTATTTATATTAGTCTCTATAGAGTAATTTTATATAACAGTCCCAGTAGAATGAAGGAATGCATGGGGTTTGTGAAGAAAGATTCATCCTTTTGGAGTTATTGCCAGTGATAAGAAAAGCATGGTGTAATTCAGTACACCATCAGAATGTTTTGTCTAGTCTGTGTGTCCCTCGCACGAGTACCTACAAGCATCAGACACAGAAAATATTGCAATTATACAGCTATCAGTACCAGCTGGTCCAAGGTTTGTTTTGCACACAAGGGAAGGAAGTGTGGCAATTGGTCTGGTGTCCATGTTAGCCTAAGGCTACTGTGACACTGGTACTGACTAGTAAGAGTGTTACTGTCACAGTCACTATCACTGAATAGTAAGAGTGTTGCTGTTACATTTTTGCTGATTAGTAAGAGTGTTACTGTTACACTGTCAGTGACTACTAAGAGTGTTACAGCTACAGTCACTATTTCTGAATAGTAAGAGTGTTGCTGTTCTGTGAACACTGGCTGCCCCGGGGCTCTCGCCGGCTCTGTCTTCCTGAGCCATCAAGCACAAGGGCAGCGCGCTGAAGCTCTGACAGCAGCTGTCAAAACACAGCTGGCGGCCACGTGGCTACAGGGGCGGAGCCCTAAATACCACACACCTGGCCGCCAATGAGTTCAACACCTGCGCTGGTTCACTTAGATGGAGCGGTTGCCATTCCAGCAGGGCTGGCTGAACTAATCGCCTTGTTTTTTTCCTCCTTTCTCTTTCTCTCAACCTATCTAGGGGACTAAACCTGCCGAGTCTCCCCACAGACCAACCGGGTAGCCTCAGTATGGATCAACTCATCCAGCATCTCCTTGAGACCAGTCTCCAACAGCAAGCTGTGACCCGAGAATTGGCATGGGGTATCAGAACCACAACGGATGATCTTCTGGCCTCTTGGAGGGCCGCCACCGCCGCAGGATCCCCTTTCCCTAGCCCCAAACAGACTGTTCACCATCTCCTTACAAAACTAACCTCCGATGACGACATATTGGATTACACAACGCGCTACCCTGAGACTCTCCCGTTAAGAAAGGCCACCTCCAAAGCCATCGCTAAGGAACTGTTTTTGCTCTGCAGCCGCGTGGGGATACCCAAAGACATTATAACGGACCAAGGCACCCCGTTCGTCTCACAGCTTATGGCTGACCTCTGCAGGCTCCTTCAGGTAAAGCACCTACCCACTTCTGTTTATCATCCCCAGACCGATGGGTTGGTGGAGCGCTTCAATCAGACCCTCAAGCGTATGCTGAAAAGGGTGATAGCACAAGATGGGTGCGACTGGGACCTGTTGATTCCTTGCCATTCGAGAAGTTCCCCAAGCCTCTACGGGGTTTTCCCTTTTGAATTATTGTATGCAAGGAGACCCCGGGGACTTCGCGATGTGGTTAGAGAGGCATGGAAACAACAGCCATCCCCTTTTCGCTCGGCCATTGAATATGTATGAGAAATGCAGCACCGAATAGATGCAATTGTGCCTATTGTGAAGGAGCACATGGAAGAGGCGCAGAGAGCTCAGCAAAGGACGTACAACTGCCCAGCTCAGCCCAGAGAGTTCCATCTGGGAGACCGTGTCTTGGTCCTTGTTCCCACAACCACCTGCAAATTCCTGGCTACCTGGCAGGGACCTTATACAGTAAAGGAGAGAGTGGGGCTAGTGAACTGCCGCCTAGAACAGCCAGGTAAGAAGAAACAGGAACAAACTTATCACATTAACCTCCTAAAAAAGTGGATTGAACCTGTCCCTCTGCTCTCAGCTTTTGCCTCTCCCACAGACACGTCCCTCCTACAATATGGGGACGACCTATCACCATCCCAAAGACAAGAACTGGCAGAGCTCGCTGACCAGTATGAGGACCCTGGCCGCACTCACGTCATTCAGCATGACATCCGTACTCCCCCGGTACTGTGGTTAGGCAGGGGCCCTACCGGGTCCCCGAAGCACGCTGGGCCGTCATCGAAGAAGAGGATAGGCACATGCTGTCGGCCGGTATTATAGAGCCCTCCAACAGACCGTGGTCCAGCCCCATCGTCATGGTCCCAAAGCCCATCGTCATGGTCCCAAAGCCCCCGCCACTTTTCTGGCACTTAAAACATCGCCTCAACAACGGAGCCCGTCCTGCGGAACCCGGATTTTGACAGGCCGTTCATCCTGCAGACGGATGCGTCAGAGCAGGGCCTCTGAGTTGTTCTGGCACAAGACTTCGATGGAGAAGAGCATCCTGTACTGTACATGAGCTGTAAGCTCAACTCCGCAGAGCAACGCTATGCTGCCCTGGAACGAGAAGCTCTTGCCATCAAATGGGTCATCGGCGAGTTACCAGTCTTACCAGTAGGCATTTCACTTTGATCACTGATCACACTCCGTTACAATGGCTGGCTAAGGCCAAGGATTCGAATGCCCGCGTTACGCGGTGGTTCCTCTCTCTGCAAGACTTCTCTTTCCAGGTGTGGCATAGATCGGGAGCCCTGAGCGGTAACGCGGGCCTTCGCTGGCCCCGTCTTCCTGAGCCATCAAGCACAAGGGCAGTGTGCCGAAGCTGATACCGCACGCCTGGCCGCCAATGAGTTCGCCACCTGCGCTGGCTCACTTGGACGGAGCCAGCCCCATAAAAAGCGCTGGCAGAAGATCAGCCAGTGAGTGGTTGCCATTCCAGCGGGGCTGGCTTGTTTTTTTTCCTCTCTCTTTCTCTCGACCTATCTAGGGGACTAAACCTGCCAGGCTCCCCGCAGACCGACCGGAAGCCGAACCGTCATCCCCCTGCAGCAGTACAGAGATGGAATGCCCTCCCTTTAGGGACCTTTGTTTTGCTTCACATTTAGTTTTGTTTTTTTTTTTTTCTGGAGAAAGAATTTTAATAAAATCTGCCCAGTGCCACCCTGACTTGAATTCCCCGTACCTCGTGCCGTCCCTCTTGGCAAACGCCCCACAACTGTCAGTGACTACTGAGAGTGTTACAGTTACAGTCACTATTTCTGAATAGTAAGAGTTTTACTGTTACACTGTCAATGACTACTAAGAGTGTTACAGCTACAGTCACTATTTCTGAATAGTAAGTGTTACTGTTACACTGTTACAGACTAGTATGAGTGTTACTGTTACAGTCACTATTACTGAATAGTAGGTGTTACTGTTAGTCACTATTACTGAATAGTAAGAGTGTTACTGTTACAGTTACTATTTCTGAATAGTAAGTGTTACTGTTACACTGTTACAGACTAGTATGAGTGTTACTGTTACAGTCACTATTACTGAATAGTAAGAGTGTTACTGTTACAGTTACTATTTCTGAATAGTAAGATTGTTACTGTTACAGTCAATATTTCTGAATAGTAAGAGTGTTACTGTTACAGTCACTATTTCTAAATAGTAAGTTTTACTGTACTGGGACACTATGGGACACTATGAAGGACATGACAGATGAGGTTCTCATCAAGGAAGCCAATTCCGGTAGAAAATTGCTTTAAATTTTCAAATTTACTGAATGCTCATTTTACTAGGTTTGAAATGGTGGATACTGACGATAAATGTAGTGATATTTTCACACTAAACTAACCAGCTTAGATAGGATAAAAATCTCTGCTGATGATGTGTTAAGTACGTTTAGACATAGTAATGTAAGACCAAAGTAAACAATTCAACAATTCATCCATGACACCAGCAGGAATGAACAATTAATTAAATTGTGTATGTTTTGATTAGATTCCTTTTTTGAGTATATGTAGATAGATTGTATTTATTTCTTTGTTTACTTTGGTCTATGTTGATGGTTTTTCAATGGTCATGTGAGAGTCATGTGATGTTATTGATGTGAGTATTTTAGGCCACACCTGTATGCACTAATTTTGAATGGCATTGTGGCATGAGTCAATACATGATCATGAAATGAAAAGAGTAAAAGTAAGCAGCTATAATTACTTATTTAATCGCTGAGCACGGGACTTCGTGTTCTATCAGAATTTTGTATTTTGGAGAGCCAGGGCACCAGTAATCATTTAAAAATTGCACAAGGTGGAAGTCTCCCCTTTTTTCTTCAATTAGACATTAATCCTTATCTCAGTCACTGGTATAAAAATTTCATTACTAATAGAGAACAAGAATTGAAAGTAAATGAAACCCTATCACTGTCCAATATTACTACTGTTGGGGCTTCACAGGGATGTGTTAGTTCTCTGCTTCTGCTTACATTGTATACAAATGTTGTAAAGCTCATGAAACAAATTATTTTATTTTTAAATATTCTGATTCTATGTTACTAGCTCTGTTGACAGATAATGATGACATTATTTCAACAGGGTGTAAATAGGCTGGTAGATAAGTGCAACCAGAATGATCTTATTATCAATACAAAGAAGACTAAGACTAAAAGAGATTATTTTTGGTCTCTCCTGATTCATTTCCACCTCCATTAAGAATACCTATAGAGGAAATTAAGCAGGATATGTCCTATAAATACCTTGGTGTACATATAAATGCAACAGTATCATGGACTATTCACACTGATTATGTCTGCAGTAAGGAATATACGGGCGGATACAAGTTTGTTCCGAGATTGTAGGTCAGTTTTTGGTGGATGGTTTTACGACAACCTATAGGAAAAGTATGGAAAAAATTATTGTGTGGTATTTTGTCTATACTATATATAGTCATCAGATGTGCCACATAAAGCACGGAAAGGTGTGGGAATGGAAAGCTTGGAGGGCAGCAGTGGTGAGTAAGTACGAGGTTAGCTCAACGCTAACACCAAACCCGACTCTCTATCCACTCATATCTGCATTGATGATGCTATGGATCTGCTAGTTGGCTCTGCGTAGTACTGGCAGGTGACATTCACTGCGGGAGCCAGAGAGAAGACAGTGTTCACGCTGGGTGCTGGGCTAGTAGTGCCGTCCTCTCGCAGTTACAGGATGAGAATAAGACGTCATTGCATACTACAGCTGGCATTTGAATAAGCCAGAGCACTGTGCAGAACTACTGTATGACGTGAAGGGAGCTGTTGGCTAGCATGGTGGGGCTGCGTCATTTCCACCCTTATGTTTTCGGTGTTCCCACCATTTTGCACACTGATCATGACTAGTTGGCCTGGCTCATGCAGTTCAAAGAGCCCCAGGGTAAGATGGGGAGGTGGATCGTGGCACCACAGGAGTATCATTTGGGGCGATGGACTGTTGCTGTCCAAAGAGATTAACTTACCCTGTACCGGCCCAGTGAACGAGAGACCACTCAGGGTTGCACCCGTTACACAGACGAGTGGGCATAGTTTATATGCAACACGAATTAACAGGTTAGCTTATCGCTGCAAAGCCTAAAAATGTTGTTCACTTGTTCAGTTTCAATGCATGGTCATGGCACTCTCAAGCCTCTGCAGCTCACGCGCCTCCACTCCGACCCTTGCCCCTTTTGTGAACCTCGTCCAAGCTGCATCCCTGACTGGACTGCAACCACGTACTGAATTATTCCACTTTGTTGAAGTAAACAAAGCCTGCCCTCTGCCATTGCTCAACCACCCTCAGCTCATGCAGCGGCACAAACCATGTGACGACACCACTGCATTGACTCTCACCCTTCGCTATCACCTCACTGTGCCAACACACATTTTACATGATGATGTCACCCCTTCAACAGCCATTCCGACCGGCTACGCAAACCGCCATTCCTCCTCTCTCTTGCTGTTGTCACTTTCCTCCTTTGTTATGTTTATTTCCCTCTCTTCTCCCTAGCATGGGCCCAAAATTCCTGTCCCCTACATGTCTTGCATCTATTTAGTTAGATGCCTTATTTTGCTAAGCCTTTTGCTTGCTGGCTTGTTATGTCAGTTTCTCTGTACCTCCCTAAATTACTGGTTTCTATCCAGCTGTTTAAGCTCTTACCAGGGACTTGCTTATTCAGTCCTATTGTGTATTGTGTTTATTGCCTGTGTACAGTTGGTAGTATTGCTATATGTTTTCTACATTCCACTCCATATAGTATTATCTTAGTGATGTTGAATTACGCAGAAGCTCAACCCACTGATCCAAGCCCCCTTTTCTTCAAGCCCCCTTTTTTGTCCCAGCTCCACCCTTTTCATCCCACCCCCACCCTTTTCATCCTTCATCCCCCCTCCCCTCTTTCATCCCTCGTTCCCCTTTTTTTCATCACTAATTCTCCTATAATCCTTCTCCCTTTTGCTCTCTTCCCAACTCTGCTGCACCTCTTCCTCGATCAGTCCTTGGTGCCATTAGACAAAGTTCAGATTATGACTGCTTAAATTACAATTTTGGTATCTTTTGGAGGAGTGAACACTCCAGACATGTTTTCAGACACATTGTGTTATAACTTACGTCTTTTGAGATGAATTCAATCTCAGCACTGTACTTGGAGTCTGTTATGTTGGCTCCAACCTGTATGATGACTGAAGTACAGGCAGAAATGGTTCCTGATGGTAACAGGTCTTTTTCTCCCAGGATAGCGTTTATCAAAGAGCTCTTCCCAGCCCCTGTCCTCCCAACCACTCCAACAGTAGTTTTCTTTGTTTCATCTCTTTTGTCCAGTTTTGAGATGTTTTGTCTGTGCATAAAAAGCATAAGAAAAAAAAGTTTCCAAAACACAGTTTTAACAGTTGTGCTGTCAATGTATTTATATGGTGCAATTAATAAGTTTATTGTACCTGATATACTGAATGAGCTTTTTGGGGCTGGAGCTGTCTTCATGTAGTTTTTTATGTAGATCGGATTGAATTTTTTTCATAACTGACTTGGCTGTTGTAATATTCACCCCTGGAAAAAAAAAAACATGTTAAGAAAAAGAAACTGAGTCAATGACAATTATGGCAAAGCGTAAATTATAAGTTGGTGTGTGAAACAGACCAATATTTTCTATTATCAGTATAATGGACAGTATAATTGCATATAGTATAATAGAGATAAAGGTCATTCCACACTAATAGGTTATTTATTTTTTAGTAATTCATTTTAAAAGTTTGCTCTAACAGATTCTAAATTGTATTCTACCGCTTACAGCATAAAACACCTGAACAATGGTCTGCAAAAAATCATGGGTCTCAGTCTGCTTCCAAGTGAGTCCTGGTTCAGTTCGCTGCTGGTTGGAACACATTTTTATGATAGTCCACACAAAACGATGGAATTTCAGTACTGAGCATGCCTTCTTGTTCTTGTTGCAATACATCAGTGCTGTACTGTCTGCAAAATCTGGCTGTTTTAACAATTTAGCATATGGATTGCAGAACATATTTTTGGCCAAGCACCATCGACCTTGTTGGTTATGTTCAAAATGACGAGACATTCAGTCCTAAACTCACTGATATCAAGTAAGGTTTATTATTATTGCTTTGATTTTGATACATATTGACATTAAGCATCTCTCTTTTTATGCAAAGTAGGATGAATGGTGATTGGCAAATGTGAAATTAGTGTTACACAAAATATAAACCATTTTATTCTCCACGATCGGCTACACGATCGGCTCCTTTGCATTAATTTAAATATTTTACTGTTATCATCGTTTTATATTGTATGTATGTATGTGAGTTTTAAAGCATCCTTAAATAGGTAAGATCAACTCTTTGAAAACATTTTATGTATTGTGAGCCACATATTTGTTCCCACTATGTTTGCTCTTTGTTTGTGTGCTTTCATATAATTGGCGTTTAAATTTATAGCACAGCTTGATTTTAATTAAAAGAACAAACTTTTACATTTCACACATGCATTATTTGCTATGCTTTGTATGTCATGTGATGCCTTCTGGCGTTGAGACTTACCCAATTCCAAAAAAAATTGAGACAGTAGGTAAAATGCAAATAAAAACATAAAGCAGTGATCTGTAAACTTCCCATCACAGGTAATTAATTGAAAACAGCACAAAGAAGCCAATTTCCGAAAAAGTTGGGACGCTGGGCAGAATGTAAATATTGATAGAATGCAACAATATGCAAATCATGTAAACCATATTTATAATGGAAAATACTACAAAGACAACATATCACATGTTGAAACTGAGAAACTTCATAGTTTTTTGAAAAATATATGCTGAATTTGAATTTGATGCCAACAACACGTTCCAACAAAGTTGTGATGGGGGCATGTTTACCACTGTGTTTCATCACCTCTTCTTTTAACAATACTCTGTTAGCATTTGGGAACTGAGGAGACCAATTGCTGTAGTTTTGAAAGTGAAATGTTTTCCCATTCTTGTTTGATATAGGATTTCAGCTGCTCAACAGTTCGGGGGCTCATTTGTCATATTTTTCATTTCATAATGCTTCAGATGTTATCAGTGGGTGACAGGTCTGAACTGCAGGCAGGCCAGTTTAGCACCCGGACTCTTTTAATACAGAGCCATTCTGTTGTAATACATACTGAAATAAGCAAGGCCTTCCCTGAAAAAGCTGTCATCTGGATGGCAGCATGTGTTGCCAAAACATGTATATATCGTTCAGCATTAATGGTGTCTTCCCCCATGCCATGTGCACTAATGCACCCCTATGCCATCATGAATACTGGATTTTGAACTGTGCTCTGATAACAAGCTGAGTGGTCTTTAGCCCAGAGGACACGGTGTCCATGATTTAAAAAAAAATTTCAAATGTTGATTCTTCAGACCACAGGACACTTTTCCCCTTCCCCTCAGTCCATTTTAAATGAGCTCAGGCCCAGAGAAGGTGGCAGCATTTCTGGATGCTGTTTATATATGATTTTTTCTTTGCATTTTAGAGTTTTAACTTGAATCATTTGTGGATGCAGCAACGAACTGTATTCACAGACAGTGGTTTTTAGAAGTGTTTCTGAGCCAATGCAGTGATTTCCTCTATAGAATCATGTCTGTTTTTAATGCAGTGCTGCCTGAGGGCAGGGGGCAATCAACCACCAGGTGTTTTTTTTAGCATTACACAACAACAAGAGGCAAGGTGGAAAACTGCCAAGATTTTTTTTTTTAATATTACTGTAAGACGATGTTCATTTAAATCTTGGCCTGACCTCACTATTGACTGTGAGCAACCCAGATGCCCAGTGTGCTTCTCCAGTGCAATGTTGTTCCCAATTGCAGACTGCAGCTACTGTCAATCATGCCTATTGTCAGTCTCCCACATTCCCCAAGACTTGTAAGTCACACCACAAATACACCTGCCAGTGTCAACCTTACCAGTGCACTGTTCTGGATGGCCTCTCCCCAGAGGGGTGGGCTGCACGGTGCAGTGCCAGTGGAGATCAGCAAAGACTTTGGCAGACTGCCTCCCTGTTAGTGCCAGTGGCATAGGTGGTTCTTGACCTGGTGCAGCCTAATGTACAGATCGATAATGACGAGCATGGGGTGTGAGTCCAGGGACCTACACACACTGCAATAGCCTGCTAGGAGGCTCTTTGCCAACTGGTAATTTGACCTCATTTGCTAATCATGCTGGGGTAACTCTAAAGGAGCATCAAACTACTCTGAGATCTACAAGGGTCCACAATGGAACAAATGTGAACTGCACAGTGATAAAACAAAGAAAATGTTTCAAATACTTCTTTCAAACTGTCAATCACGCAAAGGTTATTTGGGACTGTGAAACAAAACTTAAAGGCATTCTTGACAGTAACCGAAATGTCTGGAGCATATTGTCCAAAATTGACCAAATACAAAAACTGTTGTTTACTTTAACCAGGATTTTCTGTGTCTCAATGAGAGCTGGCTAAACAGTTATACACCATCAAAACAATTATAAGGACTGCAGTATACACTTGTTTTAGGAAAGACTGGGCAATAGGGAGAGGAGGAGGAGTATATATCAGAGAGAATTTTAGATGCACAGAAATACAGTTGGACTATAATCTGTAATGCCTGGCACTGAATATTGTTCTTTGACATCAAATGAATTTCAGTGTCATTGCTCTGAATAATGCACCTTCACACAATGTAAGGTTTTATGATGAACTTAAAAACTGTTTGTAATGTGTAATCATTTTTCTGAATGTGTTTTATTTGGAGATTACCATATTAACTGGATGGATAAAGATGCTAAAAGGAAATTGAAATAAATTACGGCAAAATTCAATTACCAAAACTGATTGATAGACCTAAAAGAATAACAGTGAAGTAAAATCCTGATTGGCCTTGTTTTCACCAACAGAAAGAATACCTAATAAATAATAAAAAGTACAGAAAGAATAACTAAAAGATACAATTTGATCACAGACCTATCAGATCACAATATGACATTGGTTGTCAGAAAGAACTACTGGTTCATCATACTGAAAATGACATGAAATCTATCAAATCAGGGATTCCAAAATGTACAATGGTAGATTTTGAAAGAGAACTGATGCACATGAACTGGGATACAGTAACAGAAACACATAATTTGAGCACCTGCTGTGATAATTTCATGACAGTTATTAATGGTTTAATTGGCATATACTAAAACATGGAGCACTTAAAAGGGCTCTTGTCTCAAAAACTAATAATGATCATCTCAGTTACACAGGTATAAGAAACAAAGTTGTCATTGACCTGAGCAAGGCCCCATAAGCACAACAGAGTAAAGCAGCTGAGAATAAACAAATATATTTCTGATAATGCAACATTTGATGATTGATTTGATTTTTTGTTTTCTGTTGAATCAGTGCAGGAACTTACGAACAGTTTTAAATTGGTAGAGCTGACACTCATAGCATAGCATAGTGGACCAGAACCCTCAAAATGTATTTTTCATTAAAGATGTTAACCTTGAAAGTCAGTAAAATTCTGAGTAATCTCAGCAACTGACAGGCCAAAGACATCCATAATCTTGATTCTGCACTGAGAAAAAAATATCGAACTGCTAGAGTCAAGAGCACATCTTGTAAACTTGTCCATCAAAACATGAACTCATTGAGAGCTGGAAAACAGTTACTATCAGTCCAATTTTTAAATCTGGTGAGCCAAACTTGACATGTAATTACAGACCTATTGCCATTCTCCCAACTGTCTCCAAGATACTGGACAAAAATAGTAGCAAAGCAATTTATAAGCCATCTGGAGACAAATCAGTTATTGCACCAACAACAATTTAGATTAAGACCCAAACACTCTACAGGGACTGCAAATTGTCATCTAATTGAAAAAAAATAGAAGGACTTTTGGATAAAGGTCATGTTGTGGGAGCTTTTTTCTTAGACTTAAAAAAGGCTTTTGATATGGGCTGGCTGCCAAATGTATGCCAACCATATAGAAAAATATATGCTCATTTTGAATTTGATGCCAGCAACACATTTCAAAAAAGGTGGGACGGGGCAACAGACTGATAAAGTTGTGTAATGTTAAAACAACGACAAGTGGAACATCTCACAACTAATTAGGTTAATGGCAATAGGTCAGTAACATGAGAGAGACTTTCGGTATTTCAGAACTAAGGATGAGGAGGGGTTCACCACTCTGTCAAAGTCTGCGTGGGCAAATAGTGCTATCCAAGAATATTCTCAATACAAAATAGCAAAGAACTTGGGAAATTCAGCATCATAATGTCATTAAAAGATTTAGAGAATCTGGAGAAATCTATGTGAAAGGGATAAGGCCGAAAAACAGTATTTGATGGCTATGATCTTCAGACCAAATCTGACAAATCAAAATTTGACACTGTTTTTGGAAATCAGGGACGCCGCATCCTCGGGGCAAGGGGAGGGACTATCCAGCTTGTTATAAGCACGCAGTTAAAAGCCAGCATCTGTGATGGTATGGGGGTGCATTAGTTCACATGGCAGGCTGACTTGTACATCTGTGAAGGCACCATTAATACTGAACAATATACAGGTTTTGGAGCAACATATGCTGCCATCCAGATGACGTCTTTTTCAGGGAAGACTTTGGTTATTTCAGCAAGACAATACCAAACCATATTCTGCACGCATTACAACAACATGACTTCATATTAAAGGAATCACAGTGCTAAACTCGCCTGCCTGCAGTCCAGACCTGTCACCCATTGAACATTTGGCAGATTATGAAACGAAAAGTATGACAAAGGGGACCCTGAACTGTTGAGCAGCTGAAATCCTATATTAATCAAGAATGGGAAAACATTTAACTTTTAAATCTATAGCAATTGGTCTCCTCAGTCCCTAAAATCATAGTGTTGTTAAGCTTGCATACTTCCTGTGGTTTCGTTTTTGTCTGTCGTGGATGCTCCGCTAATGCAGGTAATGTTGATAAGTTCCATCACTACTGGAAAACAGTTCTACCACAGTTCTCACAATGGCAATGTGCAAGCCCAGAAAACTGCCACTATTTAAGGTGGAACAGGAAAAATCGAGCAAGAAGCTGGCAAATAGGTAGCCAACTTCAGCATTGTCCTCTCGTGAACCTAAATATAACATAACCTATATGTTTTGGTGCTTACTACTAGTTAATACTACCGAATAATAGTCGTCTTACATGTAGGAGGTATTGATAGTACTTCTTGCGAAACAAAGATCCTCAAAGTCATTCATCTTTGTTTAATGGCACGCCTCTTTTTTACCGACCAGTCACAGGCTTTGTTGTGTAGTGTCTTCGTCCACGGAGTTCGCCCAGCTGCTGTGTGCACGACACAGTGAACGAAGTCTCTGCACGACCTCTGCGGTTGTTCATTTTCTCTGCAATTACATCATATTGTTCGTTGTCCGCTGAAGCCAGGCGGACACCCGCAAGAAGTATGCGGAGGTCTTAATGCATCACTTGTCTTTCAAAATAAAATAAGCCAGGCATAAGGACAGTAACAGAAATTTGACGACGTTGCTGTATTTCAAATTTATGACAGGAAACAAATCATTTACATAAAAAGTAACCACTACGTAGAGTCCTGTCTGCAGTCAGATGCCTCTCCACATTTCTTTCACTTTGGGTCTCGAGTATTTTTGAGTCATAAGGCTCAAGTCCGAGTCGCAAGTCTTTGTTGATTTTGTCGAGTCGAGTCGCAAGTTGTCAAATTTGTGACTTGAGTCTGACTTGAGTCCAAGTCACATGACTCGAGTCCACACCTCTGAAACCTAAATATCAAGCCAGACCTTGTTTTTGAGCCTGTGTGTGATGTTAATATGTAAAGATGTTTGACATGGTCAGAAAAACACCCGCCGAATTCAACCCGACACCTCTGACTTGTAAATTACTTTACAGGGCAACTCGCAGCAGCGCACACACACACGCACACACACATGCACGCACACACACACACACACACACACACACACACACACACACACACACACACATCATATTTTACTGTGGTTTTGTCAGTAATGCTTCATCTTTCAGTTTTTAAGAAATAAAAAAATTTTAACCTGCTTTAAGAGTGGTTACGTGTGCAATGTCCACAACACAGTAACTAAGGTTCCCGACTCATTATTTTGTTTGTGATAGTGTGATAAACACAACTGCACTGTTACAACCTCATAACCTGAGATTTGAGTACAGAATAAGTACAGACTCAAGGTGGCGAGATATAAACTGACTTGGACTGACATAAAATTTTATCTTTTGTTAAAGTTACAGTTAAAGACTTTGTTTCCTTTTTGTTTATTTTTGATTTTTTAAATTAAAAAAACATACTACAAAGAACTCCAATCATCAAATCCTATTTCTAGTTATGTACTAGTTGTTTCTTTGGAATAGTAACCATTTGGCAACAGCAGCAAAATGTAAAGCTTACCGGCACCTCTTCTCTCAGGGCTAGAATGCCTTTTTTGTCTTTTAGCTGTCCCAGGTGGAGAAGAAATATTGCCATCTCCAAGTGTCCTTTTATCTGTTGTTAATAAAAAAAAATCTTCCAAACATGTAACAACTGTGTAAAAATAGATTCATTCAAATATTTAGAGACTCTGAACACATACCTCTTCTACTCATTTGTAGATTTATTACTCTGAGGAAGAAAACAAGAAATAAAATAATGGAAGCCATTTCCAACACAGCCAGTGGAAACCATTATTTGACCAAACTATGTAAAGAGAAAATCACAATTCTAGGCAGGTAGGACATATAAATAAAGGGATCTGAGCACATCATACAACATATGCTGACAAGATTGCCAGGGATTTTTGGTTGGAAAGAAAAGATGTATGAAAGATGAAAAGAAGTATGAAATTAAAACAAATTAAAAGAACCAGTGCCAAGAAACCATTTTATCAGCTTATTGAACCATCATGAATATGATACTCACGGTAAATGCTGTTCTGACTGGAAGAGCAGTTGTGAACTGTTGCAACTCCTCTACAAATATTGTTGTGCAGGTAGATAAGCACATATAAAACTGATCCTAAAAGGGGTGTGGTCTCTACCGAGTAGAGTTCTGAGAAAAGGACAGTTAAAAGGGGCGTCGACCCACAACAGACATTTGACTGCCGTGCAGGATCAAGTCAGTGTAACTATGTGTATAGTATAAGTAAGTACCCACCAAATTTTAGAATGATTGTAAATAATGTGACATTTACTGGAAACAGGCCTAGGTGAAACATGTGTTTAATAGGCTTCAAGACAGACATTTCTCCAGAATTCAGCCTGAATGTTGTACCATGAAAGTCACACCTATATTATTTAATCTCTTTGAGCCCGTATTATAGCACAGTGAAAGTAAGCCAGGCTAAAGAACAGAGCGAGATTAGTTTTAAAACAGTGTTACCCATGAGCCTTCCAAAGTAAACAAGAAGACACATTTTTCAAAATTTCTGCAGAATTCAGTTCTGGAGATGTAAACAAAGTCATTTAGAGTGGTTTGAGGTGAAATGCTCCATTCTAGAGGAACTTACAGACTTACTCAATTTTAGAGAAACGTTCTGAAATTTGCCAATTTGTTCACAGTGGTAGTAATAGGAGCCAGACGTCTGAGAGTTTAATGCCTCTAAACCCTACATCACAGAAAGTTTTTACATGAAATGGTTATGTATTAATTTTTTAAAATCTGTGGAATTCCCATTTAATGTTACTGAATGCTGAATGAGTTAAATTTGGACGAAAGAAGATTAGCATTGTAGGACTACTAAATGTCAAAAAAAAAATAAATTCTCTCTTTACAAAAGGGTATACATGAAAATAAAAATGATGATTATAAAAATATACAAAAAGATTAGTTAACCTAATCCTAGTTTCATTGCCCTGGTGCAGATCACAGTGGTTGATTAGTTCAGTATTATTAGTATTATTGTTATTATTATTACGAAGTCTTCTTACAATGCACTTCTGTGGACATACACCATTTAAACACATAGGCAACTGTGCATTAGACGGTTGTTGTGTCAATTAATATCAAAACTAATTTTTAAAAAACACATTTTTGGTTTTAAATCCTGATTGGCTGAATCACATTTGGAGCTTTTGTCAAGTTATTACTTTGATACATTAGTTTGACTGTTCTCTTCTGAGTATTCTTAAATATGACATTGAAGCTAGTAGGTAAAAAGTAGGTAAATTAGTGAATATGGCCAAATCTACCTATGTGACAGACTTGGCAGTATATTTGATGTTTATATATTCTTTATAAGGCCATACAAGGGATTTAATACCTTAGCATACACAGCTTGAAAATGTATGTCTTTATAGCAGTGCAAATGTATTTTAAATCTTACAATCTGTTTTTATTTTCCCATAAAGTCTGCCCTTTAAGCTTAAAATGTTCTAGTACATGTATAATCAAGCATGTATTCAGACAGTAATACTGTGAGTTGGCATGAGCCAGAATATAACATTTATCCTTATCTGTGTTATGAATGTGTGCTCATCGTCATATAGGCATTTACATATAATGTAGTTATATATGGTATATGCATTACTGTGCAAGTCTTAGACCATCTGAGAAAATGATACAAAAAGCCATTTATCTGGGAAGTACAAGAGAAACACTACAACATTACAATAAATACAAACCAGTTTCCAAAAAGAACGTGCAAAATGTAAATAAAACAGAATGTAATGATGTGTAAATTATTTAAATCCTGTATTTAATTGGGAGGTGTTGTTAATTATTAGACTTACTGTATCTGCACGTTAGATAGTTTAACCGTGCTTTATACCTTTATTATTCTATCATTAGTGCTTTTATGCCTTAATTGATTAATAAATTACTCTTTTAAGTTATCACTTGTGGTTGTGTGTGAGCAATTATCACAATCCAATCAACTGATCACTGTCTGCAGGAAAACATTAACCTGAGATGAACCTAAAAAATAGGTTGTTTTTAAGTGTGAAATAGGTGAATTGAGTGGCCGTCTCCCGCTACCATCTCTAGAAGAACTGGACTTTCTGGTGGAGGAGCTGAAAAAATATGAAGAATCATTATTGGTCATAATTGGTTATGAAGTCAATGTGAAAAGAATATATGCAATTGGAACTACAGGAAGTAAATCTGAAAGAAAGAAACTCGTCTTAAATAATAAATCTAAATGAGAGTAATTCTCTGATGGAATGTTTTCTCTTTACTTTGTTGCTCCTTTGTGTTCTAGCATACCTTCTTCTCACAAACAGTTCCGTGGCTGTGTCAGAGTAACCTCGTCTTGGTGTTTAAATGTTTTCTTTTCCGGGTTCATGGTGGCAGTTCAGGTTAGTAGCAGTACAGGTTGGCCAACAAGACAGATGAACTAGCAGCACTGGTTCGTAATCAGCGGTTATACCAGGAATGTAGTCTTTTATGTCTCACGGAAACGTGGCTAACCGACAACATTCCTGATGCTAACGTGGACATTCCTGAATTCACCACAGTGAGAGTGGACAGGGACACTAAACTGAGCGGCAAAAGCAAAGGTAGGGGAAGGTGCTTTTTGTGCACATCAGGTGGTGTAACCCAGGACATGTGACGGTGAAGGAGATAATCTGCTGTCGGGATATTGAACTGCTGGCGGTGAGTCTCTGACCCTATTACATGCCTAGGGAGCTGTCCCACCCCATTGTGGGACAATGGCGTGGGACAGCTCCCTAGACTTCAGACCCAGCACCCCGAGGCTTTCATTGCTATCTCTGGTGATTTTAACATTACATTACACTGGACTCAATGCTACATACCAGTATGTAGACTGCCCCACTAGGAAGAACAGGACAATTGATCTCCTTTACGCCAATGTGAAGGATGCATACACCGCCACACCCCTGCCCTCTCTGGGAAAATCTGACCACAACGTGGTCTGCTTGCAGCCTCAGTACAAACCCCGTGTTTGAAGACAACCTGTAACCACACGCTCCTTCAGAAAATGGTCTCCTGAAGCCAAAGCGGCTCTCAGGGATTTTTTCGAGTGCACTGAATGGAGTGTACTGCAGGAGCCATATGGGGAGGAATGCTAATAACAAGCCCTGGATAACCAGCAATGTCAAAGGCCTGCTGAACAAGAAGAAGAGAGCCTTTAAAGACAATAACCAGGAATAGCTTAGGAATGTACAGAAGGAGCTCAAAGTCCAATTGCGAGAGGCCAAGGAGTCCTACAGGATGAAGGTGGAGCAGAAGTTAAGGGAGAATAGGATAAGCAGAGGATGGACAGTGCGTTAGACGGTGACGCAGAGAGAGCCAATGAGTTTAATATCTTCTATAACCGGTTTGACTGCCCTGTTTAGATCTCCACAGTGTCTGTATGTACAGTGGTCACCTCCACACCCTTCCTCTTCTCAGCTCCTGGCACTTCAGTCTCTGCCTGCCGGGACATCAACACCTCATCTTCTTCTATTGATATTCATGCACCCCTCCCACAGGCTGACAGCACAGACATCACACTGGCCACCCACTGTACACCATCATCATGGACAGGAAGAGCATGTTTAGTGGCAGGTTGCTGTCACAGAGCTGCTCAACTGACAGATTAAGAAGATCCTTTGTCCCCAGAGCCATCAGGCTCTTCAACTCTTCCCAGGGGGGCCAGAAGAGAAGAGAGAAGAGGGGAGAGGAGAGATGAGGACTGAATCTGAATCTCATGTTAAATCACAAATCATAAGTCTTATATCTCATGCTAAATCTTATGTTCCTTTTTGTCCATCTACACATATGGACACTCCACACTAGACACTTTATTTTGGTACCAATATCTGCACATATTTATTCAGTATTGTCTGTTTTCTATCTATCTATCTATCTATCTATCTATCTATCTATCCATCCATCCATCCATCCATCCATCCATCCATCTCTTTATTTTCACTTCTCAACAGTGCTACTCTTAAAATGCATATTAATTAAATCAGGTGCACTAACGCCTGCAGCTGTAGTGTCCTCAAATTTATACACATAAATAGGTTTATAGAGCAAGGGTGTTTGCTTTTTATTTTTAATTTTGTTTTGAGGGTAAGCATTAGTGCTTGTCAGAACCACATTAGTTTGAACTACAGTAGTTTGACCTTGTTGCCATATTGTTATGAAACTTTAGTCATGGGGGCTTCATACTAACTTAGTAAATACCATTCACCCCATCTAAATTGGGCTGCCTACACACAGTTGAAACTTTCGCAAGAAATGTGGAATGCAGTCACATATAATTGCAACCAATAAACAATTATCAGTGCTCACTGTACCATGTTGCTATGTTAATATGCTAAGCTAATCCACTGAAGGACATAAGTAAGTTCTTGTTAGCTTTATTACAATCGAGCTAGCATTGATTAACATTTGTGAATAAACTGGAACTATATTGTTTGTCACAGAGGCAAAAAAGTTACCTTAAATCTCGCACTGTTGAATTCCACATCCTGTGAATATCCAATGTGCCCAAAAAGAATCCAGTGAAACATCCGGGTAGAACCAGTTTCCCAGTACCCGGTTTCTTCAGCATAGTTTGAAAGGAATGTGCATGGCTGCGTAATTCTAATTTAATTGGATACATTTTATGAGGCTTTTAAATGTAGTAGATTTTACTTGAAATGTTGTACTCCATAATGTAGATAATATTAAGTAGAAGTCAATGGCTTTACTGAAGTGTTTTTTACAGATGTGAATTTTACTTAAAGTTGCATAAAATTGAACTATTTTATGTAAATGTTAATCAGTTCCCTTGTATTATATTTACCACCCCCAAAAAGCGTTTTTACATGTGGAGGGGAAAGGGGGGCTTTGATGTGATTGATGGGGGCTTTGAGGGTAGGTGGGCCTAAAGCCCTAGTTGAATACCACTGATTGAGCTGCGCAGTAACATGGCCTAAAAAACATGCTGTGTAAATATATGTATAGTATCGTAATTGCTGATTAACATCTATATGCTATCATATGTATATACATATATATATATATATATATATATAT